CGTTTTAATGATGTAAAGCCCCCCGGAAAACGTCCCAGTTAAACGACGTTTAACTAAAGTCCCTCAGGATTTAGAGTCCCAGTTGGCGGCGTTTCAACTAAAAACTTAGAGGTTGGAGTCCTTGTGAAAAGGTGTTTTTGACTAAAGTCCAAGAGGGTTTGAGTCCCAGTTAAACGACGTTTAACTGAAGTTTTAATGCTTTTATCTTTTTTAATCTTTTTCAAAATCTCTTTTTCTCACTCTTTATTCTATGTCACATGCTGTTTGCATTTTAATTATGTAAAGCACTTTGAAATGCCTTGCTGCTGAAATGTGCTATACAAATAAAATTTGCTTGATTGATTGATTGATTGATTGATATAACCTAAAGGCTGCAGAAGAACCACGATGGTCTGCGGCGGAAGTTTACCTATATGAAAACTCATTGGAATATATTATGAATTAATTCTGATATTTGTAAGTTATTTGCAACACCCTGACTGACATTAGCTCATGTATATTCGGCACTATTACAAGTTTTATCGTAGTTTAATACAAAAATCGTTAGCTTACCTGAACCGTCTGAGCCACCTGCTTTCCTGCTGCTGCAAGGCGGAGATCAGCTCCTCCTCACCACATCGCCTCATTCCTCCCACTGTCACATTTTCTTTTAGTCTCAGAAAAATCGCAATCAGTCTATAAAGAAATAGCTCAGCTCTCTCTTCTTCTTTTGTATCAGAAAAACAAGAACTCGCGTTAGGTCGCATGTAACGAAGCACAGCATGTAGCTCCTGGAGGCGGGGCGCTACCCCCCCCCTCCCCCCCCCCGCCACCAGGAGGCGGTACCCTGCAACAGAGCCAAGTGGGCCGGTGGAAACGCGGTCACTCTGAAACAGAACCGAGCCGAGCCGGGTTGTTGAAGTAGAGCCGGTGGAAAAGGGGCATTATGCCACTAAAATCAGTCAGTCTGGTAAGGTTTTTAGGGGCACCCTACTATATAACCTACTGGTATTGATTTCTAAATCAACCCCAGACTGAGTGTTGAGTTAGACTGTTGGAGTTAATTTAGAAATCAACACTGGACTGGATTTCTTTTTGTTTAACTCTTTGGAACTCTTTAGTTAATGTTAGGGAAACTAACACTCATGTTGTTGAATTAACACTGTATTTTCAATATTTAACACTTGTACTGGAAATCTTACACTTCTGAATTTGCTGTGCAGTAGAACTAAACACAAGTTCAAAATATGAAAATAAATAAAAACACAAAAGTCATTCTTCAATAGTTTCAGTTTCCAGTTTCCATGATCACATCCCATCTGTGGAATTAGTTTGGTCAAGAAATTCTCTCATTACTAAATATTCCACAGTCAACAACTCAGTCATGAAGTTATGAGCTACATAAATCTCAGAGCATGGTCAACAGTCACAGAGGTAGTCAATATTCTGCAGAGTGATGGTGCCATACCTTCAAACTTCACATGGGCTTCAGATTAGCTTGGAAACAATGTATAGAGAACTTCATGAAATAGATTTCTATGACCGAGCAGCTGCATAAACATAAACAAGTTCTTATGTGTACATCTCCTACTTTCTGTTAACTATTAGATAAGATTCATTTTGTTAACCCTTATTCCTCTTTATAGGAGTTAAAATGTTGGCTTCTAGGAACGTTGGAGGATCTGGGCAGCCAGGAGCTGAAATACTTCCACTGGTTCCTGCAGAACGCTGATGAGTCTCTGGATGGTTTTAAACCAATCAAAAAGTGTCGACTGGAGACCGCAGACAGATGTGACACAGTCGATCTGATGGTGCAAATGTACAGCAGCAACACCAGAGAGGTCACTGAGAAGATTTTGATCAAGATAGAACAGATCCAAGGTCTGTCTACTAAACAAAATATAGAACATTTTATCCAGTGGTTTATTGTTTATTAACTGAACATCCATTGACTTCCAGCAGGAAATGTTGAGTCTCCAGTTTTTCAGCAGGAAGAACAAACCTCTCCAGTTTCTCCAGAAGGTGAGTGTTGAATATGCAGCTGCTTGAAACGTCTCCAAATATGTTCAAGAAAACTGGAGTCATGTTTAGAGAGCAGTCAACATATGGAAAGTTTATTTATGTAGCACATTTCTGTAACAATTCAACGTATTTTCTGTGATAAAAACATTAAAAACATTTCAGTGTCAAATTAAATGTGATAAAAAGTTGGAATATAAATTACAATTAATGATGTTTCAGATACTAATCAAAATAAACTAATCAGGTGGATATTTAGCCTTGATTTAAAGGATCTCAGTGTTTCAGCTGGTTTCTAGTTTTCTGGAAGTTTATTGCAGATTTGTGGTGCATAGAAGCTGAATGCTGCTTCTCCATGTTCTGGTTCTGGATGCAGACCAGAACCAGACCTAGAACCAGAACCACTTCCTGAACAAATACAACAGAACGCCTTTATAGCCGTTTAGTGTATGTTCCAATATTTGATGTTAAACTGCATGAACCCATATTCTACCATAACAATCCAATTATTCGGGTTAGTCTTGTTCATGTTTGCACATTTCCTTCCCTGCATAGTTTGATGTTTGTCTTGTAATTCTTTCTGCAGAGGAGAAGCTGACTAAGATGTTCAATGACTTTGTCAAAGTTTCAAAAAACAACCAAGACAACCTGAGCCAACTCTTGGAGGTCCTTGTAAAGGAGAAACTGCTGATGGAGTCTGAGAGAACAGCAGTGCTTGAGAACCAAACCACTGTAAACAAAGCCTCATGCATTGTAGAAATTATAATGGAAAAAGGAGAAGAAGTCCAAAAGGAGACCATCAACCATCTGCAAACCATAGAACCAACATTGAACCCCCTTCTGTCTGCTGAAAATGGTGAGTTCATCTTTTTCTACCGTTTTCTGTTGTAAGCTCATGAAATGTTAATACTTGAAAGTCCAAACAATTAATGTTTAAGTGGCTTGAGCATTTTCTCCTAAACTGAAAGTTAATTTCCATTCATGGTTGTTCATGGGCTTCTTCCACTTATGAATAAGCAAAATAGCAAAGTAGGTCTATGCTACTGGAAGGCTTTAGACAAGGGCTGAACTGATAGAGAATGATTTTTGAACATTCACTGTAAAGACACTCTTCTTCCTACAGACAGTGAACTTCTCAGGATCAGAGCTAATTTTGCAGAGCTGATTTCATCAAAAACCCTTAACCAGCTCATTGATGTGCTCCAAGCAGACGGTGTGTTCAGTTATTCAGAGAAACATAAAATGCTTGTGGAGGATCAAACCTTAGCAGATAGAGCAAGAAACTTCATTGACTGTGTGAGGGAAAAAGGAGATGAAGCCTGGGAGAAGATGTTGGACCATCTATCTGATGCAGATCGAACACTTTTCTGTAACTTGAGTTTATCTTCTGCCAGAATCACCCAGAGAGGTAAGGCCACACATTTCTGTAATGACGAGTTAAATTATATTTCACCTTTAAAGGATCAGAAGGACATTTTGTACCATTCATGAACAAGTAAACCAGTTTGGGATTGCAGTTAAAGAAGATGGTGTAGAAATAGAGGACAGTAGAAGAGGTAGGCAAGTTCAGGGAAGGAGATGCTTCTCTGAAGAGCTGCATGTCAAAGTGTTTCTTAAAGACAGGAATGGCCCGGTTCTGATGGAGCTCAGTAGGTCATTTCACCATCATGGAGCGAGACATGAAGAGTCTGGTCTGTCTTAGTGATTCTGTAAGCACTGCTAACTGAGTAGAGTGACTGGGTTCTGACATCAGCCTCAAAGAGAGCATTCAGGTAGATGGGAAAAGAACTGCTTTCTGTCATGAAACTGAAAATGCTTCTAATAATGTTTCTAATAAATCAGATAACTGGACATTTAACACATCACTGTCAGAGATCTACATCACAGGGTTCAGATGGTTCTAATATTTCTTATCTGTGGAGTTTAAATGTATCTATTTAGAAAAGAATAGTAAAATTTATTTTGTTGGTCAAAGTCTTAACTGAATCTTAGTGTGATAACTTTATTCAAACATGTTATTTAGAAATATAATAGATTATGTTTCTATTTCACAGTTAATAAACTGCTAACTCACAAAACCACATGTCTGTTCTTTTTCCCTTACAGTGATGATAAAACTTAAATCTGGTCTGAAGAAGAAGTTCCAGTCTGTGTTTGAGGGGATTGCTAAAGCAGGAAGTCCAACCCTTCTGAACCAGATCTACACAGAGCTCTACATCACAGAGGGAGGGACT